TCTGGACTGAGAAGAATGGGAAAAATTCATAGATCAGCAAAAATGAGCAACCACATAAGAGAGAAAATCTTCCTGATAACATTTCAGTCCTCACGAGACCCACAAGTAATTTCTGAAATGGAATTATCTGAGATTCCCCCAGTGTTCTTCCCATTAATTCCCATTTTATATAGCTACTTTCAGAAGGTTTGTCTTTCTCATTAAAATCCCTAACAACCCTGGCTGTGTGGCCCAGTTAGTTAAAACATCATTCCATACACCAAATAGTTGTGGGTTTGATTCTCAGTCAGGGCACATACCTAGGTTGAGGGTGCAATCCCTGATTGAGGCACTTGTGGGAGGAAACCTATTGATGTTTTACACATCAGTCTGTTTCTCTTTCTCTCTCTCTATAAAATCAATAAAACCATATCCTTGGGTGAGGATTTTTAAAATCTCTAATTGCCCTGGCTGGTTTTGCTCAGTAGTTAGAGCATTGGCCCAAGCATTGAAGGGTCTCAAGTTTGATTCCAATCAAAGGCACATACCTGGGCTGCAGGTTCTATCCCTGGCCCCAGTTGGGATGCGTACGGGAGGCAACCAATTGATGTGTCTTTCTCACATTGATGTTTCTCTCTCTGGCTTCCTCCCTCCCTCCCTCCTTCTCTCCCTCTTTCCCTTCCAGTCTCTCTGAAAGTTAATGGAAGCATATCCTTGGGTGAGGATTAACAACAACAACAACAACAACAAATCCCTAACTAAATTGCATAAGACATTCACATCTTTCAAAAATAGTTCTTCTGTCAATTGGGCTAAAGTCTGCTACCCTCTAGTCTAGCCTTCAAGGTGACTGATTTGCCTTCTGGAATAACAGGGAACACATTGGTCCCTCTACCCCAAGCCTTCAGACACTAAAATATTGGAGTTCTATGTACCTAAACTTTCTCTTTTCCAGACCTAACAAAATATTGTCAATAGAATGTGGATTTAGCCTTCCTCTTTTGCTTCCTCAAAGTCAGATTGGTGACTGACTCCTTTAAAGTATAGGGTCTAAAGTCCATCCCCGGACATGGAATAATCTGACTAGTCCCGATGACAGGGATGTTATCACTTGAGTTCTCCGAAGCAATTTCACTAGTGTAAGGAACAAGGAAGCCATCACCCATGTTAGCTGAACTTGCCATGGGAAGCCCTGCTATGCCTGGATGAGCTAATAGTTCTCTTCCTTTTGGGTGATGAAACTGACTGTACTTCTTTATTTGCCCACCAGGAAACTCAAAGACAAATGAGAAGTATAGAGACAGACCATAGAGGTCAAGCATATTTTTATAGATATCTTGACTTCCTACTATTAAAAATATTTTCTGATATGATTTCTATTTCCGATTTGGCACCATTTTATAATGTGGTTTGTAAGCTTGCTGTGAACTGCCACAAATCCCCCGTGGGAAAAATGTAGGGACGTAAATATCATAAAGGAAAGGAGGGATCCGGAAAAAAAAAAAAAAAAAGGCAAGAAGTTGGAAGGAATAGTTAGCCGTGCAACCGACAGGGATGGGGAAGGCATGAGTGAAATGGGGAGAAATGGAGAAGAACAGAATGTCATGTGAGTGAAAAGCAGCCAGTGGGTGGAATAAATGGCCTGGTGCCCAAGAGACAGAAATGAAAGGAATGGCAAGGGAAGGAAACTTGTAGTGGAAAAGAATGAAGTCAGCCCAGCCAGTGCGGCTCAGTGGTTGAGCATGGACCCATGCACCAAGAGGTCGCTGGTTCAATTCCCGGTCAGGGCACATGCCCAGGTTGTGGGCCTGATCCCCAGTGGGGGGCTACAGGAGGTGGCCAGTTGATGTTCTCTCTCATCGATGTTTCTATCTCTGTCCTTCTCCCTTCCTCTCTCTCTAAAATCAATTTTTTTAAAAAACAAGAATGAAGTCAGACAAAGCCGAGTGGACAGAGCAATGAAGCACAGTGCAGCGTCAGAATGGAACTAATCAGAAAAGAGGGGAATGGAAATGAAGTGAAGAAAAGGAGTGGACAGAAATCAGTGACATGCTTGGCCAGTGTGGTTCAGTGGATTGAGCATCCTCCCATGGACTAAGAGGTCCCAGTTTGATTCCCGGTCAGGGCACATGCTCGGGTAATGGGCTCAATCCCCAGTGGGGGGCACGCAGGAGGCGGCCAGTTGATGTTCTCTCTCATCAATGTTTCTCTCTCTCTCTCTCTCTCTCTCTCTCTCTCTCTCCCTTTCTCTCATTTTAAAATGAATAAAGAAAACTATTTTAAAAAAGAAAGAAGGAAATGGAAAGCCAAGGAAGTGAATGGAAAAGAAATCTATAGAATGAGAAGAAATGGAGGCCGTGGGATGAAATGAAAGCCAAGCAAACGGAAATGAATGTGAACAGAGACACTGAATAGAGGGGGTGGAGTGGTGAGACCGAGTGGAGGGGTTGGGTGCGCTGTGTGGATGGAAAACAGGAACGAAATGGGATGGGAAGGGAAAAGAATGGCAATGAAATAAAGTGAGGGGGTGGAAATGGGTGACATGGAGTTGGAAAGGTTTTAAAAGGGAAATTCTCTCTCTAGTTTATTTTTCTTCAGCAAGGAGGAAAGGGCAGATGGATGACAGCTCTCACCCTCTCCAAAGGCTCTGCTCCACGTGACATACAAATACCTCATAGTTCGATTCTGTGTTTCCTTCCGGTGGAGTGGAGCCTGGTGGATGCAACGCAAGATTGGGTGGTGGCTTCCTGGGGCGGTGAGGATAGCCCCCAGGGATGGCAGGAGGCAGCTGCTTCTGCAAGTGAACCAGGAGATTGGTTAGGGTCCACCAGCACAGATGGCCTTCGAGTCACAGTATCTGGAACGTGCCAGCTTGCACTCTTCAGAGACCCAGAGAGGAAGAGATTCATCCAGGTTCTTACCAAAAAATTCGAAGCAGAAGTAGGGTTAGGACTGAGGGCCCTGCCCCTGGCCTAGAACTCTGTCCTTTCACCTAGCTACCTCTGCAGCCCTTACTCCAAAACGTCCTCCGCACCCAGTACATGCTGGGCCCGGCCACCTCACTTACAATCCAGTTCCAAGCCCTGGAGGTGGAAGGAGAACAGAACAGAAGCCAGAGTCCTAGAATATGACCCAGATGCCATGGGGCCTTGGGCCACCTCCTCCCCATCCCTGGCCCTGTAATGCACAATGAAGATTTAGGCAAGATAGCTCCTTAGACTTGTCAAATCGAAAATTCTAGGATTATATTGCCTCTGCACCTTCTTTAATAAAATCTATGAACTGCTCTGGGGATTCTGGTGGCAGAATCTGGGGACAAAAAAAGAGGTAAAGAGTCCAGCCGGTGTGGCTAAATGGTTGAGCACTGACCCATGCACCAAGAGGTCACCAATTTGATTCCCAGTCAGGACACATGCCTAGGTTGTGGGCCCAATCCCCGGTGGGGGGCATGCAGGGGGCGGCCAATCGATGTTCTCTCTCATTGATGTTTCTATCTCTCCCTCTCCCTTTCTCTCTCTCTAAAATCAATAAAGAAAAAAAAAAAGATGAAGAAGTCATGGGCCTTGGAATGGGGGCTACCCCAGAAATTCTCAGAAATAGCATTAGCCTCAAAAGCAGTTACATCTCTTCTGATTCCCAGAGGGGCTCAAGGCATTGTCATGTTGAAGAACAAGATGACAAGGAGAAAAGATGAAGAAGCCGGGGAGATTCTGGGGATCCCCAGAGAAGGCAGAGGAGGAAATGCAAAGACCTAAACTGGCACTGGTGTTTTCAAGAGAACATGCGTGACTCCCCCACCCCAAGAAATGGGACTGGAGCAGCCCTTCTGGGCTGGGGAAAGGCCAGACAGTTGAGGGAGCAGGGCGGGTCCCTCTGGAGCATCACCCACCTTTTTGGCTCTGGCCTGTCCTTGAGGTTCAGGTATATTGGCATATATGGTCCTTGGCCAGTCTAGAGAAAGCAAATGCCAACCCAGGGCTAGAGTTAGGAAGAGATCTGAGGGGAGGGCTGTTTTCCCAGGTCACGTCTATGTTCCGGAAAGAGGTGGCAGAAACCTTCCTTGCTTTCTCCCAGGACTCCTCATCACATCTCCAGTGAGCTTGACCTGGGATGCCCCAGAACACTAGTTCTAGGTTAGATAAGGTTGTTTGATGAAACGGATGAGGGCAGACATCTAAGCCCTAGCTCTAGTTGCACAAGTGCGTTTCTGGTTGTGTGGGTCTGTCCTTCACCCTTCCTGGCCTTCGGTTTCTGCTCTATAAAATTGAACGGATTGGACAGTCTCTAGAAGACTCCCATCCTTCCAGAACCCTAGGCCAGAGAGGGCAAAGATGTTTGACTTTGCTTTTGGGCAATTCCCACCCATCAGCAGAGGTGGGTTGGGGCACTGTGTTGAGATAGATTATGAGGCTGGTTTTGGATCCAGCAGGGAGCCGTGTTGTGATTGCTTCTGTCTACAGCAATCAGTTAACAACGTTTTCTGAGAGGGCGGGAGGAGAAAACGGCCGCACAATGCCTTGTTTTTGTTATGGCTGTCAGAAAAGGCAGAACTCCTCAGAGTTCTCAATTCCAATCTCACCCATTTTCCAGATGGGGACACTGAGGCTCGGAGGGAGCAGGGCTTGCTTATGCTTCACATGGTGACCTGGTGGCAAAGCTGGGAGCAGAGGGGCTCCCAGCACCAGCCTCTTCCCAGCCCTCACTCTGCCCTGGGATTTAGCTAGCATGCACTTACCAGAACTGGGCTGGGCAGAGTGCTCCTCCTCAGAGGTGGCTGGGGTAACCTCACGGGTGGGGTCCTCTGCTATTTTCCTGGAGGACCAGAAACCCCAAAGCACTCATACTCTGTGCATCTAGTCCTTCCCATCTCCATAGACTGCCCATATCCCACGTCCATTTTCAGGCAATGCCCCAAACCCTCTGAATTGCCCAGGTGCCATGGATACAGTTCAGCACCATGGTCAGCAACTCTCCTGCCGGGCAAGCCCCCTGAAGACCACACCCCCACCCCATTTCCAGCTTTACCTTCTGGCATATCTGATGTAGAGAAAATAGCCCAGCCCTACAGACAGGGCAATGACTGCCAGGATGCCAATGGCAATGCCAGCAATGGACCCTGCAGACAGCGACGACTGGGGACCTGGGCCTGGAGGGAGAATCAGGACTCGGGCCTGACACACTCTCATCCCTGTTCCCAGCCCTATTCCCAAGCTTGTGGCTTTATCTCCACATCAATGGATGAGCACTGGTTTTCCAATCGCTGAGAGGCAAGGATTTGGGGTATTAACAGCATCACTTCTGGAGTCAAACAGCCTCGGTTCACATATCAGCTGGGTGATCCTGACCATGCCCTTCTGTAAAACGGGGATAACAGGGCCTACTCCACGTGGTTGTGTTGGTGTCATGATGATACTGCTCAGGAGGATGGATCAAATATGGCTTTCATAGGAAAGGCTTGGACAACCAGAAGCTGGCTTTCCCCTGAGAAATCTTTCCCTCTCTGAGGCCCTGTGACGAAGTGGTACAGGCTCAGTAAAGAATTATTTTATTTAACAACCGCAGTGTGCCAGGCACTGCCATAGAGCTTTACAAATGTTCATAATCTTCAACAGACCTCTGATATGTACAGGCATAATTATTATGTTTGTTTTACAGGTAAGCAGTCAGAGGCCCAGAGAGGTTAAGTAGCATGCCCAAGGTCACACAGCTCATAAGCTTTGGAGCTCTGGCTAATAGTGACACTATGCTGCCTGCTCAAGAACTCAAGAAAGGGCATGGCTGGTGTGGCTCAGTGGATTGAGCATCGTCCCATGCACCACAAGGTCACCAGTTCAGACATGCAAGGCCTCATTGCCAGTCATACCCAGTTGCTATTAAGAGAACATCTGGCTCCCCTCCCATCTCACTCCTCTCGGTGGCTGTCCCCCTGACTCATGCTACTTCTAAACAGCTCGGAAAGGCAGGCACCACATCCCCATTTACAGGTAGGAACACTGAGGCTCAGAGAGACTTTTCCAGGGCACACAGCTAGGAAGTAGAGGTTCTCGGGCCTGAGCGTTAGGGCTTGGGATTAAACAGCTCTGGATTGGCAGCCTGCCTATGCAGTATACTCATGTCTACACCTCGAGCCCAGGAAAAGCCACTTGTACCCAGGGGAAGGTAGTGCACCTGAAGGACTCACCTATCACTCTGACCAGGACCGAGGCGGAGCGGGCCTGGCGGGTCAGAGGGTTGAGGGCCGAGCAGTTGTAGGTCCCCTGGTGTTCCCGGGTCAGGGCCCCGATGATCAGCTTCTCCCCCATAGACACACTGGTGGAGTGTTCAAGGGTCCAGCGATACTCGGCGCCTGGCTGGGACTCAGCCTGACACTGTAGGGTCAGGCTGGAGTTGAGCTCTGCCTCTACTGTGCTGACCACCTCGGACTCCAACCCGCTGGTGATGTCCACTCTGTCAGGGCCATCTGTGTGCAAAGCCAAACATGTGCCCGTCCTGCCCTGGCACTTTAACCCATTGTGCCCCCTTCACTTCCACACTGGAGGTTTCTCCTTTTTCTCCTTATCAATTCTAACCAAGGTTAATCCCACGTTATACCCTGGACAACAAAGGCTCTTCCGCCATTGAAAGGAATCTCAGCAGGATGAGGAGGAGGAGAGCTCCCTTTCCCCCTTAGATGCCTGTTGAATAGATAGTAGTTTGCAACATGGAGAAGGAAAAAAAAATCAAAATCAAAACCAAAAAAACCCATCCTTGCAAAAGCAAATCCCAGCAAAGGAGCCTCATAAGACATCAGACTTCAGAAATTGTTGTGTCTGTGAACATAGCCCCTAACTTCCAAAAACGGTTATAATTCTAATGGAATTTCTTTTTATTATTTTTATTTTATTTTTTTGTTTGTTTAGGTAGCCTGGGAGGGAGAGAGAGGAAGAGAGAGAGAGAGAAACATCGACGTGAAAGGGATACATCGAGTGGCTGCCACCCGCACAACCCAACCAGGGCCGGGGACAAACTGCAACCGAGGTACATGCCCTTAGCGGGAACCGAACCCGGGTCCCTCTGGACCGCAGTCTGACGCTCTAACCGCTCAGCCAAACCGGCCAGGGCTATTATTATTTATGAGTGTTCAGTTTGTTTGTTTGTTTTCCTTTATTGATTTAGAGAGAGGGGAAGTGAGAGGGAGAGAGAGAGATAGAAACATCAGTGAGAGAGAACATTGACTGGCTGCCTCCTTCCTGCCCCGCACTGGGGATCGGGCCCACGGACCTGGGTATTTGTCCTGACCAGGAATTGAACCCAGACCTCTCAGTCCATGGGACGATACTCAATCCACTGAGCCACACCGGCTGAGCTCTGATGGAATTTCTTATTTAACAACACATGGCTCTGTTACAATATTTAGTTTTCCGTCTGTGTATTCTCAGCGACAGAGATACTTGTGGATTTCCTCTGTAAAGAGCACTTGGCTGTCCTCCCTCATCCGTGAAAGAAACAAAGGGAAAGACTGTTGGGTTTCTCATGCAAACTAAGAGTTTGAGTCTTGTCTTGTTTACCTTAATGGAAACTACTAGCAAAGAAGGATGCAAAGATTTCCTAGTGGAACATCCCAGGAAAGGAGGAAAATCCTGGCCCTGCACCTGCTAAATATCCTTCGACGCTGTTCATTTCTCCCCATCCTAACCCCAGGATCCCTCATCTGCCCTCTTCTTGGTCTTTGGTCTTCCCACCCTAGTCTCAAATCCTCCACACAGCAGCCAGAGGGTTCTTTCCACCTTGACACTACCCCTCCCTTGCTGAGAACCCTCCATGGCTCCCCAGTATCCTTGGGACAAAGCCCATGGCTGACGAGCTCACTCACTATCTGGCCCTTGCAGACCCCTGAAGCCCCATCACTCACCCCTCCACCCCTTCCACTCTCAATCCAGGAAGAAGATGCTACTGCAGCATCCCATCCTTGTCGTGCTCCCTCTTGCCTCGAAGCCACCCCATAGTCTCTTCCTCCTCTGGGATGCTCTTCCTAGCTAACGTGCTGGTCCTGCAGATCTCAGGATGGACGCCACCTCTCACGATGAGCCCTCCCACATCCCACTGACTGGCTGGAGGCTTCCTTGGGGCTCCCCAAACCCTCTCATCTCATGGCAGCATTTATCACTCTGTTTCTCTGCCTGGTGATTTCCTCTCCCCGTCCTGAGTAGGCTGCGGGCTCTGAAGGTCATGCTGTCTACTCTCAAGTGCCCGCCCGACATGCTGACCAGCACAGAGAGGTGTTTTTGGTTTAATGACTGAAGTAGGAAGGAAAGAAGAGAGAGCAACCAAGGAGGGCAAAAAGGAGAAAAGCAATGCATTTAACCCTTTGTATACATCTCCCAGCTACATAAGACGTATAAAAGTGGACCCTTGCCCTGGCCAGTTTGGCTCAGCGGTTAGACTGCTGGCCCATAGACCAATGAGTCGCAGGTTCAATTCCAGTCAAGGGCACGTACCTTGGTTGCAATTCATCCCCGGCCCTGGTTGGAGTCGTGCGGGAGGCAGCCACTTGATAATGTCCCTTTCACGTCGATGTTTCTCTCTCTCTCTTCCTCTCTCTCCCTCCCACTTTATCTGAACAAAAATGGAAAAATGTCCTCGGGTGTGGATAAAAAATTTTTTAAAAAGTGGACCCCTGCTTCCTGCTCCTGCACAAACCTCTTACCCCAACCGTTTCCACCTTAGCTCATGGTTTCTACACCCTTCGAGTAGCTCAGGAAGAAACCTAGGACTTGTCGTTGACTCCTCTCTTTCTCTTTTGCTTCATGTCAACCAGCAGCAAATCCTGTGAATTCGATGTTCAAAAGATATCCGAAGTCTGCCCACTTCTCATCACCCACAGTCATCCTGGCCCAGCCCCATCTCTTGATGGACGATTGCGCTTGGTCACCACGAGAGGGCGCCTTGCAACCTCCAATGGCCGGAGTTCAGGTGACCAGAGGCCCAGCTGCTGTGCCCTGAAATCCACTCCCAGGCCTCCCGTGGGCTGCACCCTGCCAATACCTGAGTGTGTTGGGGGACGGGAGCAGACCCCTTCCTGGGAGACCTGGGACCCTGACAGCCTTGACGGTGTTCCTTAGACTATGCTTCCACCCGGCGCTCCCCCTTTCTGCTCGCTGGGGGCAGGCTTGCATCTCCGCCCCAGGGCTCTCCCAGCCTTCCCAGTCCCTCTGTACTTGTTCTCACAGGAACATAGCCCCTAACAAGATCCTTGCGTGTAGAATTCCATTTAATCCCCCCTTGGGGTCTGCCTCTCCAAGGACCCGGACAAACACACCCTCTCCACAACCTCCTCCCTCTCCCCTGCTTCTATTCTGTACACCAGGGCCAGGGGGACCTGTGAATCTTGTCTGGTCCTATCGCTCCCAGGACCCTCACCATGGCCCCCAGGGCCCTGCCCCCAGCCTGTCACCCCCCCCCGACGTCTTCTGTTCCACTCTCCCCCTGACTCACCTCCCTAGGCACCTTGGCCTCCTCAGGGCCTCTAACATGCTAAGCGCAGTCTGTTCCCTCCCCCTTAGATGCCTGCATGGCTCACTCCCTGATCCTTCCATCTCTGCACAAATGCCACCTCCTCAGGGAGGCCTCCCCTGACCACCCCAGCTAAGGCTGCATGCCTCCCCTTAGCCGTCCCTGTCCCTCTCACTGCCTCATGGTCTCCTCAGCCTCAGCCCCACTGGACACACCAGGTAGCTCCCTGCCCAGCTGTTTATGGTCTGTCTCCCCCTCCATGAGGACAGGTGCTCTGTCTCATCTGTGCCAGACATGCCTGGCACAGGGCAGGTGTTCAATGAGTGCGGAAGGGATGGCTAGAGGAAGAACTAATGCCAGGGAGAGAGGGAGGGAGGGAGGAGGGAGGAGGAGAAGGTCCAGGCGCGGGGTGACTCACAGCTGATGGTCAGGCTGAGGGGGTCACTTCGGGCCCAGCTGCCTGAGATCCAGGCCTCACACTCATAGGGCCCCGTGTCGTTCCGCCAGAGGTTTTGGATGACCAGGGTCCTGTTGTCGGGCGACAGCACCAGGTGCTCGCTGGGCAGGAGGGGCTGGCCGCTCAGGAACCACCGGACTTGAGCCCCCTTTTGGGTGGTCTGGCAGGTCAGGGCCACGGAACTGGCGTTCTCCACGAGGTTCAGGCTCGGGGTCACGATGTGAGGCTTGGTCAGCCTTTCTGAAACACGTGGAGATAGAGGATCAGGGTCAGGGACCCTTCCCCAGGCTCCTGCCCTGGTGGGGCCCTCAGGACTTTCCAAGGCTGTGTTTGTGTTGGGGTGTGTGTGTGGGTGTGGGTGTGCGCGCGCACACGTGTGGCTGTATTGTGTGGGTGGTACGAGTAAGTCCTTTGTGTATAAGTGTGTTGTGGGATGATTATATGAACATATTATGGATTTTGTGTGGATGTGTTTGTGTGTGTGTGTATTGTACATGTGTGTGCTGTGTGTATATGTTTTACAACTGTGAGGTATGGGTGTTGTACATATGCATGTGTGTGAATGAGTGCCTACTGTCTATGTTTTTTCTGTATGTGAGTGCATGTTGTGTGTCTGAGGTATTGTATCTGTTGTGCATATGTGTTGTGTGGTGTAAGTATATGCTTTGCATATGGCTCTGTGTGTGTGTGTTTGTGGTCTGTGGATACACTGAGTGTGTGTATTGTGTGTCAGTTGTGTGCTTGTGTGGAGGGTGTTGAATTATGATAAGTGGTGTTGTCTGAGTTGTATGTGAAAATGCTGAGTGTCTGAGATCTGTGTTGTGTGTTATCTACAAGGTGAGGCAAAATAGGTTTACAGTTGTGAGTACATGAGTTTATTCTAGTATTGTTATTTATTTATTAATTCTTTATTTTAATCCTCACCCAAGGATGTGTTTATTGCTTTTCTAGAGCAAGAAAGGGAGGGGGAGAAACATCGATCAGTTGCTTCCCGTAGGCGCCCCAACTGACCAGACATCGTACCTGCAGCCTTGGTCTGTGCCCTGACCAGAATCAAACCCGCAACCTTTTGGGTTACAGGACAATACTCCAACCCTCTGAGCCACCCAGCCAGGGCTCTAGTATTATTATTTATGAACTTTGGCCTTATATTCCATTCAAACAACTATAACGTACTTTTGCCCCATCCTGAATTGCGTGTTTGTGATTTTGTTAGTTGTAGATTTGTTGATGTGAGACGTGTGTGTGTGTTTTAGATGTATGTTCTGTGTGTTTCGGTTTGTGTATGGTATCTATATGTGTTGTGTGTCTGTACTGTTATGCACAGTGCACTGTGTTGTGTATGTCTGTTGTGTGCATGTTATGTGTGTTTTGTGTGAGTATGTGTTGTGTGTCTGTGGCATTGTATGTTATGTGTTGTGTGCAAGTCACATATGTCTCGTGCGTGTGTTGTGCACGTGTGAGTGGGCCGTGCACGTGGGATTATAATTTGTGTGTGTGACTCTATATGTGTATAAATGTGAGTGTTGTGTTAGTGTTTGTACCTACAGTATAGAGAATCAAGCCCCAAATTCCAGAGAATCAGATAATGGACTACCCATAGAGACCAACAGGGTGGTGTGGAGGGTGTGTCAAGGCAGGACCCAGTTCTTCCCTGCTCTGCCACCGGCCACATGGGAGATCCCCACCACTCTGGGTCCTCCTCAAACTCCAGGGAACTGTGGTTGTCACAGGAACAAAGGTGAGGAACAGGAGACAGAGACTCACCCAGTACTCGGACTTTAAGAGCAGCCAGGCGAGACAGGTGGATGACATCGTTGGACACCAGGCACTTGTACACGCCCTCGTGTTTCCTGGACACGGCATGGATGGTGAATGTTCTCACAGTGAGAGAAGAGACGGTGTCATTGGGGAGAAACCAGGAATAGGCTGGGGGTGGGTAAGACTGTATCTCCACTGAGAAGGTCACGTTGGAGCCCTCTATCACCCCAACCTCCTCTCCGTTGGGTATACCGGACTCCACCTTGATTTCAAAGGGGTCAGGACCATCTGGGGGGACAGGAGCAATTACAACAATAACATTAGCATCAGCACCAGCTCTCTTAAGGGAACTTACAGGGCCAATATTAATATTTCTCTTTTCCCATCCAAGCTCTGAGTCAATTACAAAGGAGATGTGGGAGTCTCCTGGAGAGTAAATGGCAGCCTTATCCCTGGATGACATAGGATCGGAAGACATGTCCAAAGCCAGCAAACGCCCTCTCCTTGTTCCGACCCAGGCAAGACTTCAGATCAAACAGGGGAAGGGGAAGGAACTCAGGTTTAGATATAAGTTGGATGTTTCTGGTAGAATCCAAGTAGAGACACCACACAATTAGTTATACATCTGGAGTTCAAGGGTAGACAAGTTTATGTTTGGATGGTATCCAAAGAGAATGAAGGAGAACACGAAGAAAGTGTCAGGGAAAGGGACTCACAGTTCACAACCAGGGTGATGGGGTCACTGATCTGGACCCAACTGGTACTCTGGGCCTCACATCGGTAAGTCCTGGCGTCCTCTCGCTGGACAGTGAGAATGGTGAACCTTTTGCCATCTGGGGACAGCTGCATGCGCTCATGAAACACCAGGGGGCGATTATCGGCAACCCAGTGGATGGTACTGTCCATGTCTCTGGTGTCACAGTGGAAGGTCACCGTTCCGCTGTGCTCTGTGACAGTGCCCTGGCTGACTGAAAGGATGGGTATGGCCAGCAATTCTGCACAGGGAAAAAGAGAGAGGGACACAGAGGCAGAGACACGGAGAGAGGAAGACCAAGCAAGACATAGTCACAGAGGGACCCAGAGAGACAGAGAGAGATTGGAATTGTCAGAAGATACATGAGCCCAATGGCGGTGCTCAATTGCTAGGTCTACTGTTCACTCGAGGTTGTGATCATGGGCCACTGACCTCCCCTCTCTGAGCCTCACTACAAATGGGATTGTACAAATAAAGCAGAGGGTCCGCAGCATGACGACAGGTTGATTAATATCAGCTGCAAAGAGCCCTGGCCGGTTTGGCTCAGCGGTTAGAGCGTTGGCCTGCAGTCTGGAGAGACCCCGGTTCAGTTCCCGCTGGGGGCACGTACCTCAGTTGCAGTTTGTCCCCAGCCCTGATTGGGTCGTGTTGGTGGCGACCACTCGATGTGTCCCTTTCACGTCGATGTTTCTCTCTCTCTCCCTCCTCCCACTCTATCTGAACAAAATATCAAAAAATGGTGAGGATAAAAAAAAAATGTCCTTGGGTGAGGATTACAAAAAAAATCAGCTGCAAAGAGAATCAAGCCTGTAACAGGGATGCCAGCCAAGTCCTGCTCCCCACTTTTTTTTTTTAATCCTCACCCAAGGACATTTTTGCATTTATCTTCAGATAGAGCAGGAGGGAGAGAGGGAGAAAGAGAGAGAGAGAGAGGGAGAGAGAGAGAGAGAGAGAGAGAGAGAAAGAGAGACAGACACATCGATGTGAAAGAGACACATCGAGTGGTTGCCACCCACACAACCCAACCAGGGCCGGGGACAAACTGCAACCAAGGTACGTGCTCTTAGCAGGAACCGAACCTAGGACTCTCCGATCCATAGGCCAATGCTCTAACCACTGAGCCAAACCGGCCAGGACCTGCTTCCCACTTCTGAGCCAATCTTTCCCACCCACAGCCATGACAGTACCCCAGTACCCCTGTCCCGATACAACTGATCCAACCCATTGTTGCTAGACTCCGGCTGGGCCCATCAGATTCATCCCGATGGGACTCTGGGCATGGGAGCTTGATGGGTGCTTGCTTTCTATGCCCACGTATCTGAGTCTCCCTGAGTCTGGAGTGTCCAGAGGGTCCGAAACATAGAAAAACATCCTTCTCACTTCGGGTGGTGTTAAGCAGGTTGGCATCGAGAATGAACTGGGCTGCAGCTGGCCGACTCCACATGGTCAAAAGTGAGGCTGGTGGGGGAGATAGGAGGCATTCATGAAGGGGGTGGTAAGGGGGCGCTGTGCAGTTATGTTCTCCATAAGGAAGGAGCTCTGAGCTCATGGACATGGCACACCATCCCTGGAGGCTCGGCTCCTCCTCCATACTCACTGGGCTTGTGACTTTTTTTTAATCATCTCTGAGCCTCAATGTTCCCAGCTGTAAAATGGGCATAATCGCACCTGCATCCTAGGGTGGCCGTGGGGTGGTGATGAACACTGGCTCCCTCTGGGGCAGATGCACGATCCACAGAGGGAGACAGGCGCTCAGAGAGGTGAGCTCACTTTCCAAGACCATAGAGTAAGTGGCAGCAGCCGAACTTGAACCTGGCCTGCCAGCCCCTGAAGGCTCTCAACACTGCGGCGATTCCTCCTGTCCGCCCGGGCATGGGCACAGAGCCTGCCCTCCTGTCAGCCCGGGCATGGGCACAGAGCCTGCCCCTGGTAAAGGAGACGTGTCCACCTACACCTGCTGGGAGGAACTCACCTTGGTACTGCCTCGGGCTTCCCTCAGCTGGGAATTCCCCTTGCACGGAGGGGGGGGGGGGGCACAAGATAGCAGAAGTTTCCAGTTCTCCATCTGGCCATTCTGCATAGTTTTGTGGAGGCTTGAAGAGACTGGGCATGGGAAGGAGCCCCTAACCCCAGCAGCCTTGGTTCTGTGCAGGAATCTTGCTCTCAGGTCAGTGCCCGGCTCCCCGCAGATGGAGCCCAGTTAACAAAGGCTGTCAATCATGCTTCTCTCCACCCTCCAACAGACCCCAGTCGGGCCCAGGCCCTGCCCCATTCCTTGCTCAGTCAGTGGTTAAGGGCATAAGCTCACATATAGACTTCGTTGCCTACGGGGTCTATTATCATGGGCAAGGAAGGGCTTTCTCTGTGTGAGCCTCAATTTTCTCAACTGCAAAATGGGGAGAATAGTAGGACTTAGTTCCTCGGGTTGTTGAGAAGTCTGATGAGCTATCAGGGGTGACACGCTTCAGACAGTTCATGGTAAGTGTCCAGTCACTACTAGTGTTATTGTTTCCATGTCTGGATTTTCTGCCTCCAGTGCTATTAGAGGTCAAGTCCATAGACTCGGAGTCTGGCTGCCTGGGTCTGAATCCCTGTTTTGCCACATTGGGGGGCAAGTGACGTCCCAGTTTCCCCAAAGTAGACTAGGGTAATGGTTCCTGCCTCATCTAACTGTCGTAAAGATTAGTGGGAATGTGAGTGAAAGCATCAGTGATGACCATCTGAGATCATCTCCCTCCGCGGAAGGCCTGCACCTGGCCTGGTCCCTCCTGCCTCCCCTCCAGTCCTGCCTTCTGTGCTCAGGAAGCAACTCTCAAAGAGAAACACGGCCTCTCTCTCCCTCTGCCCCCAGAGGACCCGGAGCCCTGCAGCCTGCCAGGCTCCACCGGGAAGCTCCCCGCAGAGCCCAGAGCCCAGAGCCCAGCTCAGCGAAGCCGGGCTGGGCCCTCACCTCTGCACACCACACATCGCAAAACCATCTCTTTGCCTCCAAAACTCTTTCCTTACCAAAGTACCATAGTTTCTCCCTTTTCCCTCAGATGCCCTTGAAGCATAAATTTCACATCCGTCCCGACCTGACGCGTGACCTGGCCACTCCGGGCTGGCACACCCTCCCACTGCCTGTCTCACTCCTGTCTGCCTGTCTGTCAGTTACGTTCCAGCTTTCCCCACGCACCTCTCTCTGCTTCTGTCATTCCAACTTCATCTCTGTCTCTCTCTGTCTCTACGTCCTCGTCTCTGGTCTCTGTTCCCCTTTGTCAGTCTCTCTTGTATTTGCCTGTATTTCCATCTGTCTCTCTCTGTTGCTATTTCTCCTGTCTCTCTCTCTCTCTCTCTCTCTCTCTCTCTTACACACATGAACACACACACACACAAAACCCCACCCCCGTCGGCGGGGAGCAGGGCACTCACCTGAGAGCAGGATTCCTGCCCAGTGGGGGCCACGTAAGTCAGGGGGCCCCATGGCTCCTGTACCCGGCTCCGTGTGCCCGGCCTGCACACAGGAACAGCGTCCTCACTCCAGCTCCCTCCCTTCCCCCGACCTGCTGCAACCACAGCGCCCGGAGGACAGCAGCTCCCAGGACAGAGAGCAGAGGTGGCAGCAGGGGAAGAACTTTGGCACCACCTCCACCCTTCACCTGGCTCTCACTTTCCTTCCTCTGCCCAGCGCAGGGAACAGGACTCCCAGGAACCCTGGGGTTCCCCCAACGTGGAAAAGGAGAAAGAAAGCCCCGCCCTTGGGCCCTGGGTGCCCTTGAGGATTATGTCCCCTTCAAGCCCTCCTCCCCACCTCTTTGCCAGGATGTAGAGCAACCCACGGAGAAGAGGGGCCAAGAAGGGACCCTGGGAGGACGACAGTTACAGGGGCCAGGAGCTGAGGTTGTGGTGGTTAACAGCAATGATAACAACAGTGGTGGCTCCTGGTTGTCGAGAGCTTAGAAAGTCAGGTCCAATGCCAAGCTCAGTCTGCGCCTGCAGATACCAGATGAGCTGAAGTGATGCTTGTGGTAAGGATTCCTGGTCATAAACTAAAGGTGAGAAACAGAGGGTGAGCTGGGCTGGGAGAGCCCCAGGGGGTGCCTGGCCCAGCCTGGGAGGAGGGAGCAGGAAGGGCTCCCTGGAGGAAGGGGCACCTGATCTGAGAGCTGGAGGGCATAGTAAAGGTTCAGTGTAGGCGGGTTGTTTTATTTGTTTATTTGTTTTTAATTTCTTTTTTTTAATGTTTTTATTGATTTATTTTTTTAGAGAGGAAGGGACAGATAGAAACATCGATTGACTGCCTCCTGCACGCCCCCCACTGGGGATGGAGCCCACAACCTAGGCATGTGTCCTGACTGGGAATCGAACCGGGACCTCTCAGTCTCTGGGACAACGCTCAATCCACTGAGCCACACCGTCTGGGCTGTTTTTAATTTCTTATGAGCAAGACAAGCTGTTGGCCTTTGGAAGCACAGAGAGCAAGAAGATTTAATGTAATTGCCTGGGTCAGGGAACTGCCATTAATCCATTCATTCGTTCACGTACTCATTCACGCAACAAATTTCCTGAACTCCTGTGCTGATCCCTGTGCCTAGTACTGTTGAGGACACCGCAGTGACCAAGACATCCCCAGCCCTGCCCTAATGAGCTCACAGTCCAGAGAGACAGACCTGCTCCCAGTCCAGTGGTGAATGGCCAGGGCTGGGGTGGGGGAGCCCCAAGGGGTGCCTGATCCAGCCCGAGGATCAGAGATGCTTCCTGGGAGTTGGAGGATGCAGGGGGAGTGAGGGGGAGCAGCATGGGAAACTTTGCTGAGTTTGAGGCGCAGAAGGAAGTTCAGGGGGCCCCAGGGTAGAGGAAGTGAGGGCATGAGTGATTCAAGTCAAGGCTGAGACAACCCTAACACAATCCATTTGTTTTCCACAGACAGGATACAGTCTCCCTCACAACATGGTCGTGTGGCTCCAATGAGTTCACGCTGGGGAAGTGCTGGGAACAGCACCTGGCACGGAGTAAGTGCTCAGTACATGCAACCGCCCCCGGTTCCTCGGCCACTCGACACACATGTCCTGAGCACCTGCTCCAGGTGCTGGGGAGACAGCAGGACAAAACAGACCGAAACCCTGTCCTGGAGACAACAGACAACAGCTAGGTCAGTGACGTGGGCTGTTAGATGATGCACGCGATGCAAGAGTGGAGAGTAGAGTAGGGTGAGGGGTGTTATTCCATCTCATAGTGTCTCTGGCCGGCCTGGGGTACGTGGGTTCTTGGCTACGTGCAGGAAAGCTAGCACAGTATGCGCCAGGCGACTTTGACAGTATGTTCGTCAAAGCTGGGGACAGTGAAACAAGAAAGGGCCTAGGATGGAAGCCACGGGAGATGCCGATGGGGCTGCTTTGGCTCCTAGAAACGTTATGGAAAAGAAGTGAGCCCAGGCGGGGCTGCTGTCAGCTCCCTGGAGAGTCAGAGAAAAGAGCTTTGGGGACAGGTTCAGGGGTTAGCCGGGGACTAGCTGCCGCTGCCCATTGCTCCCCTGGTTGCAAGTCTCATGGGGTCCCTTAGAGTTTAGGAGATGCTCGCCTGTGGGGGAAGAAAAAGGGGAAGGGAAAAGTGAGGGTGTCCTCCCGGGAGGGAGAGTGTGCACTGGGTCCTTTGTCCTGAGGGTTTTAAAGGCTGGGAGTTTAGGGGAGGGTCTCAGGGAAGGATCTCAATAGAATAGTCATCAGTTTTCCAGGTGTGCCCTTTCAGGATCCTGGTCTCCACTGATCGGTCAGCACCAGGGCAGGGGGTCATTAACCAGTGCAGCTGGTCCGGATGGCATCTGCCTGGTTCTGCTGCTTTTCTGCACCTGGAGCTGAAATACAACTGCGGCCTAGATGTTATCTTCAGGGAGGGGAGATCAGGGCAGAGAGCTAAGCAATGACCAGCCATATGCCGGGGCAAGCTGCCTTGGGGTCGAGGTCCTGTGCCAGTTTTGCCCGTCGCTGGACACCTGGGGCTTTCTGCCTGTGTGGCCTTCTGTATCTGGCTGTATATTGCTGCCATTGACCGGGGGTCGCAGGGGAGGTTTCGGCAGTGAGACACCCGCGGTAAAGAAAGCTCGTGGAGTCCTGGCTGGTTTGGCTCAGCGGTTAGATCGTTGACCTGCGGTCCAGAGAGACCCGGGTTCGGTTCCCGCTAAGGGCATGTACCTCGGTTGCAGTTTGTCCCCGGCCCTGGTTGGGTTATGCGGGTGGCAGCCACTCGATGTGTCCCTTTCACGTCGATGTTTCTCTCTCTCTCTGTCTTCCTCTCTCTCACTCCTGCTCTAGCTGATCAAAAAATGGAAACATGTTCTCAGGTGGGGATAAAAAGAAAGCAAGCTCGTGGAGCGACATCCGAGGGATCAGCCGCAGCCTGTTCAGCACCAGCTTTCATAGACTCGTGCAGCCGGGCCTTGCTGCGTCACGCTTACATAATGGTCCTGTGACGTAAGAAGACATGGTCTGCGCCTGCGCGGCCGTTTCGGGTCATGTCCGGAGCCACGGGTTCTATCAGCAACAGGCCAAGTTCCCTGTTTGTTCAGCCGTCTGTCTCGGTTTCCCCATTCCCCTTGCCAAGGAACTGCCCTGGCTCCCAACTCTCCTGCCTCAGGAGTTAGGACCGAAGCTCACAGGACTGAGGTGCCTAAGGTCCCGGGGCACCTTGGGCCAGGGGGTTCTGGTCGGCCTGGCTCTTAACCTCCAGGGGTGCCATACCCCCTAGTCTTCGTGTGGCTGCCTTCAGCCCCATCTCCTCTGTCCACTCAGACCAGTCAATGCCCGGGCCGTATCCCCCCCCCCCAACCCCAAACTCTCTGGCCGTCTGCTGAGGGCCCCTGGAGCAGCTGGCATTCAAGGCCTCTGGTGCCCATGCTGTTCTTCCCAGAACGCCCGGGTCTTCTGACTGCCCACCGCCCCTCAGCCAGGCTTCCCTCCAGACCTCCCCTGCTTCGTCCCAACCCCCTCCCCATGCTCCCCTCTGCCCCAGCCCACAGGACGAGCAGCCGCTGGGGTGGACTTCCCAAGTCTGCCCCTCCGTGCAGGATCAGGGTTCTCCCTCCCTACAGCCCACTCCCACCACACCCATGGCAGCTTCCCTCTTCTCCCGCCCCGGCCAGAGACAGGGACTTTTTGGACCCCTCCCTGTAGCACAACTTCTACTTTGTTCCTAACAGTTGAAAATAAACCCAGGTGCTCCCCCGTACCTCCTCAGTCATGCAGGCTGGCTCTATACGGTCTTCTCATGCGTGACCTTGACTGGCCTCCCGATGCACAGTGCTTCCCAGTGGTGCCCCCACTCACTCAGCAAATATTTATTTGGCCCTGCTCTGTGTCAGCGTTGTTCTAGGGGCTTAGGGCACGACAGCAAATGAAACACACACCGATCTCTGCCCTTAAAGAAATGACATTTTCGGCCCAGCCCGTGTGGCTCAGCAGTTGAGCGTTGACCCATGTACCAAGAGGTCACTGGTTCGATTCCCAGTCAGGGCACATGCCTGGGTTGTGGGCCTGATCCCCAGTGGGGGGCATGCAGGAGGAGGCCAATTGATGTTTCTCTCTCTCTCTCCCTCTCCCTTCCTCTGTCTCTAAAATCAATAAAGGAAAAAAGAAATTTTTTTAAGTAAGAAAAAGATAACATTTTATGCAAGGAGGGGAGAGGTGGAGGGACAGACAATAAGCAAGATACATGATAAGTAATGAGTTGTCTATGATGTTAGAAAGTGATGAGAGTCACCCGGCCGGTGTGGCTCAGTGGTTGAGCATCGACCCACGCACCAAGAGGTCACCAGTTCAATTCCTGGTCAGGGCACATGCCCAGGTTGTGGGCCAAATCCCCAGTGTGGGGTATGCAGGAGGCGGCCAATCAATGTTCTCTCTCATCGATGTTTCTATCTCTTTCTCCCTCTCCCTTTCTCTCTCTCTAGAATCAATTTTTTTTAAAAAACACACATTTTTTAAATTTTATTCATCAATTCCACAAACCCGGCCACTTAAAACAACACAAATTCATTGTCACACCCGCAGGTCAGAAAGGCAGGTTGGCTCAGCGGGGTTCTCTGCGGAAACCAAGGTGTCTAGAGAGGCTGTGGAAGAACCTGATCCCCAGCTCTCTCAGGTTGCTGGCAGAACCCAATTTCATGGAGTTGTGAGACCGAGGTCCCCACTGCCTTGCTGGTTGTCAGCTGTGAGCTGTGGCTACCTTAGCTCCTGAGCCCTCGCCCCGACCTCGCGTGAGCCCTGTGTCTCGGAGACAGCAGCACACGACACCTCACACTTGGAACCTCTCTAGCTTTCCTTCTGCTGAATGCACTGCCTGCAGCTGGGGGAGTTCTGTGCTCTGAATGGCTGGTGCCCTTTGACTGGGACCTCCCGGGTAGTCCAGGCTACTCTCCCTATCTTTTGTTTTTTAATCCTCACCTGATGATATTTTTCTATCTTTAGATAGAGTGGGAGGGAGAAAGAG